CTGGCCATGCCAGGCCAGGCCAGTGTTATGTGAAACTTGCACATATTCAGAATAAATATTATAATACCACAGTAATAAAAAAACACGCTGTACATACATACACCACATTATCATATCCAGATATTATTGTTGTATTATTGTTACTTTTTTTCATAAAAGTCGACCTCATACACACAGAAGTAATATTCACAATCAAAGCTTCCCTCATCTACTTAATGAGATATCAGATTCGCCACTAGGGTTATCTAATTCCTTATTAGGAAAAATTTGTAGTAGAACAAACAGTTACAATGCCAGGAAGCAATTAAAAATCATGATAAAACAAAACTGGATAAATAGTTAACATAAAACAGGCCTGATAAAAAACGCCTCCGGTTTTAATGGTTTTGTTTGTTTCTTCCTAATCAGTTTAGATTATATTTATTTGTTATTCACGTTAACTGTTTTAATTTATTATCTGTTATTTTTCTTTGTTTTATGTTGATGTGTAAATAAAGATCCAACCAATAAGCAAAATTGGCAGCACAACATCAAGACTTAAAATAAAATATTTGAGAGAATAATCATGTAAGACTAAGAGCTCCACCAGGAAAATAAGAGAAACAAAAACACAATAGTACTGTTACGCCTCCAGTTGTTAGTTAACTTCCCGTATAATTTCTTTCAGATGAAACTTTACCGATACAAGTCCTTTCTTAAATAAAACTGGTTTATTCTTTCTGAATACAACTTTGCAATACACTTAATTTCCACAGTCACATTAACTTAAACACACGTTATAATTCACAACGATTCACGCACTTTACTTACGGTCACTACCGCGCTTGACTCAATTGTCTGTCTCTGTCTGCCTGTTTGCAATTATCTAGTTCCGATTAATTGTCTAGCTTTATCTGGTGCACTTATACACAGGAATAGAGGGCGTCTAGCAAATACTGGATTATTCGTGATGTTCCCCTATCCTTCTAGAAACTCATCACGTGTTACCGGTGTCACGTGACTTCCGCTGTCGTAACAATACTAATTATTTTGTATACACAGCTTGACAATACACGAGC